GAGTCGGTTCCGACCCATAGCGACCCTGTATAGGGTTTCCGAGGAGCAGCTGGTGAGCTTGAACTGCCGACCTTGCAGTTCAAACAGCTTTGCAGTTTGGTGCATTAACCCACAGCGATATAGAGAGGCATTATTTCTGTCAAAATTAGGAGTGGACTTGCTGGTTCACAGGGTCAGTGTATGTTTAGTACATGCTGTCAACTAGTTGTCCAAAGTGGTCACACCATATTACACTCAAGCCAGCAGTGCTCCAGTTGCCTGTGTTCTCAATGAATCAGTGATTTTTAACTCTAGCCATTCTGAGGGGCAGTAAAGTGATTCATCATTATGGTTTCAATTATATTTCCCTCATCACAAATATGAGTACTTTTCATATGTTTTTTGACCATTCAGAGGTTTTCCTTTGTGAAGCACCTATTTGGTTTTTGCACATTTCTATTGTTATCACTAGCCTTGTTCTTAGGACTTTCTAGTAGTTTTTCATATACTTTGCTTGTGTATTCAGACTTTTTTGTAATAAGTATATTACAAATTATCTTTGTCCCATCTGTGTCTTGCCTTGTTACTCTCTTAATATTGTCCTTTTAGGAGCAGAAAATTATAATGAAGCCCATTTACCCATCTTTGTCTGTATGTGTTTGTGGTTGATGTGTTTTATGTTTTAAAAAATCTTTGCCAACCCTGACGTCACTAAGATACTCAACCATGTCTTCTTCGGGAAGCTTTATTGCTTACCTTTTACAGCTAGGTCTGTGACTGTCCTGAGTCAAGTTTTGGGGAAGGGAGAGTAACTGAAGTTTGACCAGGAGAGAGATCAGACTGCAGGCAACAGTAGAAGTGAGGACTCTTGGGGGAAGGCTGCCACAGTAATCCAGGCGTAGGTGGCGGTGGCTTGGATTCCAGCTGCCCTCCCTCATCCTTTCCCTGATACAAGTTCAGTGTCTTCTGCTCATACCTTGCATGTCCCATCTTCTGACTGCCTGGAGACCCACTCCCCTGTCCCTGAGCTCTACACTCAAATAAGTGTCTTCTTTAGATGTCCACTCAGTCGCCCATGTCCCCCGTGACTGCTTCTCAGGCTGATCATAACCTGACACCAATTTTCAAACTGGCCCTCATCCCCCTCCAAGTTTTAGTTATGACTGTGACCTTGGGAAGACTATGGCCACCAGCAGCCCACCAGCAGCTTCAGGGCTGGGCCAGGCACATTCCTTAGGGGAGGGGTAACACTGAGAAAGGCAATAGATGCAAATGATGCTTCCAAGAGTCCCCAAGTTGAAAAGTGATGGACAGCTCAGGTGTGAATCCTGGGCCTGCCACCTGTCAGCCACTTGACAGAACCGCTAAGTGCAGGCTGTGGGCTGCTGGATGGGGAGAGCCAATGGGGGCTGGAGTCCAGCCCAACTCCCTTCTCAGTCCAGGTTACAGCCACCTTGTTATTGTGTGCCATCGAGTCAGTTCCAATGCATACAGAACTTATATAGGCTGTCCAAGGCTTTTAAAATCTTCACAGGAGCAGAAAGCCTCATCGTTCTCCCCAAGAGCAGCTGGCAGGTTCGAACTGTGGACCTTGTGATTCGCAGTCCAATGGTTTCAAATGGAACCGCTGGGCTTCTCACAGCCACCCGGAGGGTAGGTTTTCAGAAAGGCATCTTATGGGTGCCCTGCAGATGATCATGGCTAGTGGCCTGTCTCTCTGAACAACTGTTCCACATTTGTAAAGTGGACATAAATACTCTGCTTGCAGGGCATCTAACTGTGACTGGCCCCTCTGGGAGTTTCTCCACCCCCCTTGGGGCTCCCACAAGGCCTTGCACTTGCCACTGCAGTGGGATAGTCTCCATGCCAACCTTTTAACCCAGAGGTGGGTCAGGTCCAACTCTCAGGCCTGCCCTGAGGGATGCCAACTCCGGGGATGCCCCAGGCCTCAGGTCTTCCTTGGAGGGACAGGGGGTCGGGAGCTGCACTGTAGGAGATAGCTTTGAAGCAGGTGCTAATGACAGCCTGGTCCTGGTCCCAAGGGTCTGCCCTCAGTCAGAGGACCCAGCATTCCCAGGTAGAGACCCAGGCTGGGCCCCCTCTAGACTTGAATATCCCACAATCACTACTGTGCCAAACTAAAATGACCAGTAGCCACGGATGGACTGGGGTACGGGCAGGTAGTGTTCAGGCCATAGCACTGAGAATGAAGGGATGGGGTGAATTGCCTAAAGTGGGGTAAAGCTGCAGAAAGCGGGAAGGGGTACATCGACCAAGAGGTGGAAAATCCCTCCCTAGGCTGCTGCAAGACAGCTAGGAACCTAAGGGAGCAGGTTGTGGGTGGGGCTGGACGAGCGTGGCTGCCATTCAGCTGCCGGCACCAAGGAGATGACCCCTGTCATGACCCCCACGGCAGCTGGCCTGACTGAATTCCACTTCTCCACAGGTCCAGGTCGAGCTCCACCTTCCTCCTGGAGCAGGAGGACTCAGACAGCGAGGGCGAGGTCAGTGGCCGGTGGGATTGTGGGGGGTGCGTGCCGAGGGCCGGGACGTGCTAGTCTCCCTCCAGCAGGGACTGGCACGCAACAACGTCTGGTCATCTGGTAGCAGGAACTGAAGCTGTACTTCACCGAGCCTCAGCAGCTCCTGGAAGTCTTTACCACGCTGGAAGAACAGAACCTCTCGTTGATCCAGAACACACAGGAGATGGAGGAAACCTTGGAGGAGCTGAGCTTCACTCTGAAGAACACCCAGAACCGCATGTAGGTTCCACGTTGGTGGGGTGGGGCTCTGTCCTGGGACGTGTCCTAGCCCCCTGGAGCTGCTGGAGGCCAGAGAGAGAGAGGCCCTGGATGCCCTGACCAGGGCTGATGAATGAACCTTGTGGAGAATGAAGGCACATTGCAAGCCTGGCAGCCCAGCTCTTTGGAGGTGCCCACTGCAGAGCAGGAAACTGGGTGGACGACAGGGGTTAGACTTTGCGTTTGCCTATACTGATCACAGCCTGGGGAAGGGGTAGAACCTCCCGATCCATGCCATTAGGTGAGCTACAGTACTTGGTTTGGCAGACAGTAGAGGAGACAGCACACATGGTGTAGAAACATGAACACAGGGTACAAAGAGGAGTTGTCAGAGAGGTATGTCGGAACCTGTTTAGGTTGGGTCTGGCCCAAGTGGGACTATGTGGCCCAGCTCAAGAGCAACGGGAGTCAGGACCAAGGACCTTGAGGCCCAGGGAGCAGGACTGGAGCTCAGCAGCCTGAGGCAGAAAGGCCTCCCTGGAGGAGGGGAGGTAAACCAGCACATCCAGGCTGGCAAGGCAGCCAGGGTCCTACCTAGCAATGCCCTTGGGCAATTCCAGCCCCAGGGAATCAAAACAGACTGTGTGGGTGATGGCAGACTGCTGCCCGCCTCTCCTCTGGAGCCTAGGGCACTTTGTTCCTCTTGCTGGTAGGTGCAGAAGGCTCTGCAGGTACCTGTCACCTAAACCCTGGAGAGCTGAACAAAGTACCAGGTGAAGCCTGTTGGAAAGAGCTGGAAATCATGCATTCCATGTCAATACTCACTGACTCCCTCCTGGGTCAGGAGGACTTTAGGCCCTGCAGGGATAGAGCAAGACCCTCTCCTTCTGAGGCGACCTTCAAATGGGGCACAGACAATAGGCTGGACACATGTTAGGAGGAAATGAAAACCAAGTGACCAAGGAGGAGGAACTGAGGTGGAAGGTGACAGCAGATAGGAAGGCCAGGATAAGAACTCATTAATGGAAGGGGAAGGGAGCCAGCCACAGGCAGGCCTGGGAGAAATGGTCCAGGCAGAGGACACAGACATTGCAAAGGCCCCGAGGTGGCAGCTACCTAATAGCCTCAGTGTCTCATGGGTGAGCCATGCTCCTAAGTACCCATGTCTTGTGGTACTTAGTGGGTGGGAATTTCCAAAATGATGTGAAACCACCAATTCTCAAGCAGATTTTGTTCCCTAGAAAGGTGAGCTGGGGAATAGGTGAGCTACAGAGAGGCAAGCAGCTTTCTGGTGTTCCAGAGAACCTGGCAAGAGCAAGTCCATCCCCAAAACATACACACACACGCACACATGTACTCATATACACTCACACTCACTCATGAACATCCATATGCGCACACCAGAGCAGAACCTTCAGGGGCAGCCACAGAACTGGTCTACAGTGGGGGCAGCTACTTGGAGAGGATCCCTGAGAGAACTTTAGTTTGAGTGAGACCCAATCAGGTGCACTTAATTTTCATGAATTTAACCTCTTTCATAACAGAAATAACACACAATTTTTAAAAATCTATGGCGCTGTGGGTTAATGCGCCAGACTGCAAAGCCGTTTGAACTGCAAGGTTGGCAGTTCAAGCTCACCAGCTGCTCCTCGGAAACCCTATACAGGATCGCTATGGGTCGGAATTGACTCGACGGCACTTAACAACAACAACAACAATAGATAACAGAGTAAGCAATCTGCCCCAATATTGGAAGAAACAAAGCATAGTTGTGTTAGAGATTGTTGATGTTGTTTTGTGCCATGGAGTCGGTTCCACTCATAGCAACCCTGTACAGAGTTTTTGAGGCTGTAAACTTTACGGGAGCAGAAAGCCTCATCTTTCTCCCATGGAACAGCTGGTAGTTTCAAACTGTTGACCTTGCGGTTCGCAGCCCGATTTGTAACCACTATGCTACCAGAGCTCCTTTATGTTAGAGATAATATGTACAAAAAAAGTATGACAAGAATGTTCACAATAGAGTCAACCATAATTGCCAAGGACAGAAACCCAGATGTCTGTCCATCAGCAGCTGAATGGAAAAACAAAATGTGGTACTTCACAGCATGTGCGCCCATCTCCTGTGTATAACAAATTACTGCACCTGAGAAGCTTTAAACAACACAAATTGGCTTAACAGTTTAGAGGTCCGAAGGACTAGGGGAGAATTCATTTCCTCTACAGCTTCTAGAAGCTGCCACATTCAAACCAGCAATGATGGGTTGAGTCTTCCTCACGTCTCTCTGACTCTCCTGCCACCTTCTTTCATTTTTAAGAAACTTTGTGTTTAGAACTGGGCTCACCTGGGTAATCCAGGTTCATCTTCCTTTCTCAAGGTCAGATAATGCCCCCTTTCAAGGTTACATAACATCTTTAACTCCACCTGCAACCTTAATTGTCGAATAACATTAATATCACATGCGAGTAAAATTTTGCTGAAGACAATTAAAAAATGGTTGCAACAACACATTAACAGGGAACTGTCAGAAATTCAAGCCAAATCGAGAAGAGGACATGGAACGAAGGATACTATTGCTGACGTCAGATGGATCTTGACTGAAAGTAGAGAGTATCAGAAAGACGTTTACTTATGCCTTATTGACTAGCCTTTCAACAGTGCAGACCGTGACAAACTATGAATAATGCTGCAAAGAATGGGTATTGCAGAACACTTGACTGTGCTCATGAGGAACCTGTACATAGGCCAAGAGGCAGTTGATTGAACAGAACAAGGGGATATTGAAAGTTTTAAAATCAAGAAAGATGTACACCAAAGTTGTACCCTTTCGCCATATTTATTCAATCTGTATCTGAGCAAATAATCCAAGAAACTGGATTAAAAGAAGTGGAAGATGGCATCAGGATTAGAGGAAGACTCATTAACCACTTGAAATATGCAGATGACACAATCTCCCTTGCTGAAAGTGAAGAGGACTTAAAATACTTACTGATGAAGATCAAAGACGACAGCCTTCAGTACAGATTACACTCTATGTAAAGAAAACAAAGATCCTCACAACTGGACCAATAAATAACATCATGATAAATGGAGAAAAGACTGAAGTTGTCAAAGACTTTTGCTTGGATCAACCATCAACACTCATGGAAGCAGCAGTTAAGAAATGGGATGTCACATTGCACTAGGTAAATCTGCTGCACAAGACCTCTCTAAAGTGTTAAAGAGCAAAGATAACAGTTTGAGGACTAAGGTGAGCCTGACCCAAGCCATTGTATTTTCAATCACCTTATATGCATGTGAAAGTTGAACAATGAATAAGGAATACAATAGAAGAATTGATTCATTTGAGTCATAGTTTTGAAGAATATTAAAAGTACCATGGACTGCCTGCCAGAAGAACAAACAGATGTGTTGGAAGAAGTACCAGAATGCTCTTTAGAAGCCAGGATAGTAAGAGATAATACTTTGGACATGTTATTGTTGTTGTTAAGTGCCATCAAGTCGATTCTGACTCATAGTGACCCTGTATGGGGTTTCCAAGGAGCAGCTGCTTGAACCAACAACCTTGCAGTTCAAATGACTTTGCAGTCTGACACATTAGCCCACAGAACCACACCAGGACTCTGGACATGTTATCAGGAGAGACCAATCCCTGGAGAAGAACATCATGCTTGGTAAAGTGAAGGGTCAGCGAAAAAGAGGAAGACACCTAAGGACATGGATTGGCACAGTGGCAGCAGCAGTGGGCTCATACGTAACAATTGTGAGAATGGCCTGAGACCAGGCAGTGTTTTGTTCTGTTGTGGATAGGGTCACTAGGAATCGGAACTGACTCAATGGCACCTAACAGCAGCAATGAACCGTAATGCCCCCTTCCAAGGCTACATAACATATTCACAGGTGCCAGGGAGTAGGATGGAACACCTTTCCACACCACAATCATAATACTTGGTGATAAAAAGGAGCAAGCTTAAAAGAGAGACATTAAGCTGAGAGAAAGAAACTCTAGAACCAGCTGTTTTAATACTATTTAACAAATTACTCCAATACTTCAGCAATGTGAAATAACATCCACTTACTACTTCTTGATTTCTATGGGTCCAGAACCCAGGCACAGCTTAATGAGTCCTCTACATCAGGACTCTCACTGTTTCCATCACGGGTGGCAGGACGTAGGGGGAGGATCTGCTGCCACGTGTGTTTATTGGCAGGATCCAGTGCTTTAAGAGTCATTGGACCTGAGGCCTGAGTCCCAATGGAAATCAGCTGGCTGGAGGCCGCCCTCAGTCCCGTGATGAGTGGACTCTCCAAATGGCAGCTTGGAAGTGCTGGCAAGATGGAGGTCACCATCTTTGTAACCTAATCTCGCATGTGACTTCCCATCCCATATTCCATTGCTTAGAGGCAAGTTGCTGGGTTCAGCCTACATTTAAGGAAGAAGGTTACAGGAAGGTGTGAGCACCTTAAAGCAGAGATTGACCGACCTTTTAGAGGCCTGTTTACTACCCAATTAAGCTAATCCATCTGAGAGTGAGCATTATCAGCTCACTGGTAACTGGTGGCTAGAATGTGGAGGAAATTGACTACAAAAAGATATGACAAACTTCATCCTGAGAGTGCTGGTGCTTACACAGGTGTGTAAGTTTGTCAAATTCATCTAAATAGAGACACTTTAAAAGGGGTGCTTTTTATGGTAAATTATACCTCAATAACAAAATTGTTATGTGCCAACAAGTCCGTTCTGACTTATAGCGACCCTGTATGAGGTTTCCAAGGAGCAACTGGTGAGTTTGAACTGTAAGGTCGGCTGCTCCTCAGAAACCCTATAAAGGGTTGCTATGGGTCAGAATCAAGGAGCGCTGGTGGTGTAGTGGTTATGAATCAGGCTGCAAACCTCAGGGTCAGCAATTCGAAACTACCAGCTGTTCCGCAGGAGAAAGATGCGGCATTCTGCTCCCGTAAAGATTTACAGCCTCGGAAACCCTGTACAGGGTCGCTATGAGTCAGAACCGACTCCATGACACATAGCACATAACAACAACAATGGGTCAGAATCAACTTGATGGCACGTAACAACAACATGGCTTTGTCAGCTGACTTTGAACACTAACTTTAAGAGCCTGCAGGTTTTAGTTCGAGCCATTCTGGCAACAGAGGACAGAACATCATTTATTCTCTTCAGGGCCAGGACTAAGGTTAGTAAAAGAGGCACCTAGGGCACAAAGTTGAAGTTTGTGAGGCTCACTTGAAGTATGCGCCCCTGGGGTTTCCCTTACCTTTCCAAGTCCCAGCCCTCCTCTCTGCCCACTTTGCCAAATAAGTTGAGACAGTCATATCCTAGCCCCTTCTAATAGGCTAGAGTGCTCAGCCCCAGGAAGGTGGAGCCTGGCATAGAGAGAAAACACAATTGTCCCAGAGCACAGAGCTTGAATGCAAAAGTTAGTCCTGCACTTCGTGGCAGCCACAGCATGTGTGGAAGGAGCTATGGGTATATGATCACATGAATGAACCAGTGAGGTGTCCAGAGGTGTTCAAGTGAGATGGAAACTTAACTCAAGGAAATTGAAGACAAACCAAGGCTGAACCTTTGCTGAGACACTGCAGAACTGCTGATGTTTTCAGAAGGCCAGCCTAGCCAAGAACTCAGCAACAAGCTGCTAAGACCCCCACCCCTCCACCCCTTGACTCCTTATTGCTATGATGACCAGGACCAGAGGTAAGCACCAGGCGCAGATGATACAGCCAGTTCCTGGCCATCCTAACAACCAACAGAGGATGGGGCACTACTAGTCTGGGCAGCAGCAACCACCAACCATGCGGAAATAAAACTCCATGTCTCAGAGGAACATTTCTACACACTAGCCCGAGCCCCAAACCTGGCGGAAATGGCACAATTCATGTTGACTTCCAGCTCTTAACAACAAGCAAAGCTTCATACATGAGAAAATGCATCCAAATGGGGACTAATTGGAGAAATGAATGCAAATGTTTTCCAATTCCCCTTGCCAAGTGACAATGCATCCATGTCACATAAGACCCCTCTGGAGAAGGAAGAACAGTGATAAGAAGACCAAGAAGACAGGAAACAGCAGGCAGCCAGGTACTGAGGGGACCTCCCAGAAGTCAGAGGAAAAGGATGAGAAGGAAGCTAGGGTAGAAAGGTTAAGGACCACAAGAATACACTGAATGACACCATAGGGTTCTCTGATGAAGACAGACCAAATGGAGAAATAGCAAGAGCATACAAAAGTAGCACAATGAACTTGCCTAAAAGAAAAAGGAGCTGCAGTCATTGTCCAGGCAAAAAGCTGTGGGATGGATACACACACCAATGGGATTGTAGTCAGAACAAGCACACAAACGCCAAAGCAGACAAGATACCAAAACACCAGGGTCTCTATAAAGGAGCCAGGAACCACACCCCTCAAGCGATTCCTCCCAAATTTAGCAGGGTTGCATGTCACACTGCTGTCCTATGTGCTGATGGTAGTACCATTCCTGATGTGTTCACAGAAATATGATAGATCTGTTTTGTTTGGTTTTGAGAATGATTTTTATTAATATGTTTGGAGGTGTTTGTTTTTAATACCAGTCTAATATACTTTTGGTGTGGCACTGTAGGATCAGCACTGAACTGTGAACCACAAGGTCGGCTGTTCAAACCCACCAGGTGCTCCTCAGAAACCCTATGAGTCGAAACCCACTCGTCAGCACTTAATATATTTTCATGTTTGGTGTCCCTGTGCATTTTTGAAGTGATCTTGCTATTTTTCAAAAACTTGTTCTCATTCAGTCCATATTCCAAAAGGTATAGAGAGCTCAAGCAGTCTTATCTATGAGCAGATTTAGCAGCGTGGCAGTGAAAAGTGAACCCCAGAATGAGAGTGTATCATTTACATACTTCAGTTGAGAACCCAGAGTCTGGCACCCAGTAGGTACTCACCATTTGTTTTCACAGTGGGCCCACACCAGTGCTTGGTGTGTGCATGGGTTTACACTGCTTATGAGCTCCTGGCTCCAGGCCTTCACCCTGTCTCCTCAGGAGCTCAGCTCAGAGTCAGTTCTACCCTTGGCCCCTGAAGTCAAGGGAGTAGAGCCTGGTGACTGCTGGTGCCCACATCCCTGTGGACAATGGGCTAGAGGACCTGTGGGCAAAAGGAGCTGCAACCAGTGGTGCTCTATGTTGAGAGTGTCAGAGACTCCACCCATGTTACCGAGGGTGGGGAGACACTTCTGAGGCTGAACATGAGCTGTGACAGTCATCATTGTAACCAGGATGTACCTGCAGTTGGTTCATGATGGTTGGACCCTTGCCAACTACTGAAAGTTGCGCAATTCTTGCTCTAGACACTCCACCATATGATGCTCAAGTGTCTGTACCTTATTACTATTTTACTTCAGAGTTAATTATCGTAACTCTGTTCTTTAAATGTGCACCAAGAGAACTGAAAACCTAGGTCCATTCAGAAACATTTACACGGATGTTCATACCAGTATTACTCGTAATAGTCCAAAAGTGGAGACAACCAAAAAGTGCTAAGTGGATAAACAACTTGTTCTGTGTCTATATACCGAACTATTACTCAGCCATAAAAGAAGTGAAGTTCTGATGCAATGGTACACTATGGATGTACCTCAATGCTCAATGAAAGAAGGCAGACACAAAGGATCCTATATTGTATTTCATTTATGTGAAGTATCCACAAGAGGTAATTCCAGATACAGAAAGTAGATCACAGCCACTGCCAGAGGCCATACGTGTGTGTGTATGTGTATGTATGTGACTGTTAATGGGTATAAGATTAAATTATCTTTTGAGGTGATGATGAGAATGTTTTAAAATTAGACTCTGGTGATGGTTGGACAACTTTGTAAATACATTAAAAACCACAGAACTGTAAACTTAAAAGAATCTTGTAATAATTGAGTGACTTTGGCCCCTACTGCATACTAGACCTTGTGCAAACGCACATGACCTCAGTTAAATCTCCAGACAGTGGCCAGGGCTGGGCTCTTCAAGGCTGAGGGAGGGGAAGGGCCTGGGTCTGGCTGTGTGAGTCCATATTGCCGGTCCTCCTCCCACTCAGGGACCGAGAGGTCAACCAGCTGAAGACATTAATCACCACAATGATGATGTCCATTGCCAAAGAGGAGGAGATGGCCGCGGAGCTGGAGCTCAAAGCCCGAGTCTTCCACTTTGGAGAGTACCAAGGTGCTCAGCAGGTGGGCCGGTGGGCAGTGGGCACACAGTGACAGTAGGGGAGTAAGAGATGCCACCATGGGGCCAAGGAAGAAGAGCCCCCTTGGCTCAGACAGACCACTGGGGAGTAAGACTGGGCCTTTGGCCCTTCCTTGGGTAGGCTGGGAGCTCAACTCTGGGAGTACGCATCAGCCCTGAAATCTACAAATCACTGGGCCTTTGGTCTCTTACGCAACAATTATGTTTCTTCAACACAGACAAGTCCATTAGGGGAAGAAGGGAGGTAGGGTCCCTAAGCCTGGTTGGATGCTCAGCTAGTGCTCACAGCACCACTACCCACATGCCCTGTCTTTCTCATTCATTCAATGGCTTCAGTATGCAAGGTATTGGGCCATGGTCATGCCTCTAGAACTCAGGGCCACTCACTGGGCACCAGGCCCTCTGGGTCCTTCTCACGGCTGCTGCCACTCCCATCATCCCACCCAGTCTAGGAAGCAAACGGTATTAACCGTCTCCCAAGTGCCCAGCATCCATAGAGAAGATAGAGACGATGTGCTCAAGGCCACACAGAAAGGGAACAAGAGTGGGTTTAGTGGGGGCAGTTTGGAGGGCTCCCCAGTGTAGGGGCTGAGTGGTGGTGGGCATGGTGAGGTAGCTGGCAGAGGTGCCAAAGAGGAATGAATCCCTGCCAGAGTACGAAGTCAGCATCTGACTGATCACAGTAGGGCAAGGGGGTTTCCTAGCCTAACTCTGCATTGTATCCCAGGCAGCACCTGGGACCTGCTCACAGGCCCCCCTGAGGGGCCGCAGGCAGTTAGAGTAGCTGGGTTGCTGAGGGCCTGCCTGCCTCCTGCAGGACAAATTGCTGGAGAACCTGAACTGCAAGGTTCTGGATGTGTACCGGCACTGCGTCGGCACCACGCAGGAGGCCAACTTGGGCACAGTGCAGATGCTGACCATCATTGAGCACCAGCTGGATGAGCTACTTGAAAGCCTGGAGTGTGTGCCCCCATCCAAAATCGAGCAGGCTGAGAGATCCAAGGAGAAGGAGCGCCGCATGAGGTGGTCACGAGTGGGCCTGCACCTTCACTCCAAGGGTTGGCATGAGGACAGATGTGGTCTCTGCCCTCTAACAGCTTCCAAAGCGGGATGGAAGGAATGGGAGGACTCACCAGGTCCTTGCCAGGAAGTAGCAACTAGGGAGCATCAAATAGCCTGGGGAGCCAGGAGATTTCCTGGAAGTGACAGTAATGCTGATTACTAACAATCCAGGGCCCAGCCAGAAGACTCAGGAAGGCAGAGGGTCTAAAGATCTGGAGCAGAGTCCCAAGAGGGACTGAGCCCTGAAAACAAGTTATCAGTGAAGGACTTTGTAACCAAATCAAGCCTGCTGCCATCGACTTTAGCTCACAGTAGTCCTGAGAGAGCAAAACGGCTTCAGTGCATTGCTCATACTGTAAATCTTTATGGGAGCACAAAGCCTTTCTCCTGAAGAGCAGCTGGTGGGTTTGAACCACTGGCCTTTAGGTAGCAGTCTGACACTTACCACTGTGCCACCGGGACTCTCTGAAGGACTTGATACAGGGACAAATAGGGCCACAAACATACCATCATTAGGATATTTTTTTCAGGCTGGATTGGAGGGGTAAGGCTGGCTAGTGGAGGGAGGAGCAGGCAGGATGTAGAAGAGTCTGAGGTGTTCCAGTCTGAAGCAGGCAGTGGTAGCCTCATGGGTCTAACATGACAGAGCCAGTACTGACCCATCCTTGGTGGGAGACCCAAGAAGTCTCCACACGGATTGAGCAGTTTCAACCACCCAGAGGCACAGGCGCTAGCACCCCCTTACCTGGCACCCTTTTTTCAGAAGGCGTCGGCTCAAAGAATGGGACAAAGACCACAATGATTCAACCTGCAGGCGGGATTGAGGCTTGTAGTGTTGATGGCAATGGCCTTGGGCAGTCACTGAGGGGCATGAGCATCCATGCCTCCTGTGGGGATGGTCTGACATGCCATAGTGATGGGAACCCTGGGCAGGCTTGTGCCATCCCTCTGACACAGGCATCTTTGCCAAAAATGTGTCACCCTTGGCTGTAGGGAGGCAGCACAGCTCTGCCCCAGCAAGGACTGGACACGACCTGATTTTCAGGACAGTGTGACTGAGGAAGGCACAGGCAAGTTGGCAGGGCCTTCCAGTTCTTCATGCTATCTCTTGTCACGCAGGGTGCGGGAAGAGAAGGCCCGGGTGCAGAAGCAGCTCCAAGAGGAGCGCCAGCAGCGAGCTCGGGCGCGGGCTCAGGCTGACATCAAGAAAAAGGTAGCTGGTCACCCTAGGAGGCAAGGTCCTAAAACTAGGCACACTATGATTCAAGGGACTCGGACCCTCCAGCCCCTTTGCCGACAGCATCAGAAGCTCTGATGGCCAGGTGGAAGCAGGACTGCCCACACCCAGGCCCTGAGGCTACTGTCTTCCAGGGCCTGCCTTCTTCATAGGAATTTCTTCATCCCAGCCTGCTGTAGGCCCACAGGCATCTCCCCTCTTCTATACTCTCTTGGTCTGTGACTGGCCACCGGGCACCCAGGCCAGACACATGGACTCAAGTAGCTGGTAGGGCCCAATCAGTCCCTGCTTCCACCCCCATGCACAATCCCTTCATGGCCTGTCACTAGTGCCTCCCCCTACAATGCATGACTGAGCTGCAGGACCTACGGGCCTTGGGGCCAAGAAGAACTCTGGCCAACAGAAGCCCTGGCAAGAGGAATGTCTCCCAAATAGACCAAGAGCACAGATGCCTCCCCCACTGATAATAAGGCAGACAAGCCCCTGCTCAGACCAACACTGCCCTGATCTCTGCACACACTCCACAAATCCCAAACCAAGGTGATGGCCTGCATTTCTCAAGCTCTGTGACAGACAGGGCAACAAAGCTCCTCAACATGGAACTGACTATAGAATTTTCATACACCTGAGCTATCTCAGAATCAGTCCAGTCCTCAGTTCTGCTGAGAAGGCCTCTAGGCAGGCCAAGCCCCTGCCAGAGGCACCCTGGCTGCTCCCTGTATTTGGGCTGGGATAGTCTGCGAATCATCATTCTAAGCTGCACCTTTGAGCAGGGGTGACATAAAGCAGGTACTGATAATGTTCATTTCCTCTTGACAGAAAGGCAGAAGACTGGTATGCCGCTCCCGGCCCCCAGTTCTCAAAGCAAAGAAAGAGTCCGAACATACTCTTATGGATAAGGATAAGGAAGAACAGCTCTTCTTCTTCACTTAACCTTCTCAGAGCCCCATAGAGCGTGTGGCTGACAGCAAATGAAAGAAGCCAGCAGTGGGAGCAGAGCCTGGGCTCTGCTTATGGTTGGCCCTCTGCAGTCAGGCAGTTTCCTCCTGTACATTTCCTTTCTCTCACGGAAATAAACTATATGTCTCTTTGGTGTCTTGAGGCCTATAAGGAAGTTGACTCTCATTATTTGGCCTTAAGCCCAAGCTTGAGGGAAGGAGCACCATCTTGATTTTCCCTATAATGGTCACTTTGAGAGACAAGCAGTGGGTGGAAGTGCCAATTCCACAACGAGCTGAAGGATGGGTTATCCCTGAGGCAAAGATAAGAAAAGTAAGCAGAAACTATGCAAATGAACAGGTAATTCTTACTATAGCCACATTTCCTTGAATGAAACCAAGCAAAACTTTTGGTGTATGACTATACAAAAACTTTTATTCATTTGCACTGGGAGCTGGGTACATCTCCAGTAGTAAACCTGAGTGCCCACAAGGTTCCCCCAGGCCTGGACAGGAGAGACCCAGCCCTCCAAAAGGAACTGTTCCTGTGCCAGAACCTCCTCCCTTCAGGAGCAGAGGGATGAGGAACGCAGGGCCCCCAGCCAAGTCACAGGGGCTCCCCAGGAAGAAGGGACCACTGTCAGTCCTGGATGATCTGGGGCGAGGGCCAGGTGGGCACATTCAATCCCTGAACTTCAGTCTGTGACACAGCACAGACACCTGTAGAAAAGATCCATTTACAAATGTGGTTTTAATTCTTCTAGGCAGAGAGGCACCCTGGGCAGATGCACCTCTGAACAGGACAGACAGAAGGGAATCATAGAGAATGCTTGAGTAATCCTTAAAATTCACAGCCCTAAACTCAAGAAACAAACACAGAATGGGTAGAGCTTGCATGTCTCCAGTCTGAGAACCAAAACAGAACTTGCTGAACATACACTCCAGAGGCGTAAGGCAAAAAAGCATTTCTGAATGACCCTGTGTCCATTCCATCAACTGTAACAAATAAATATGTGCAAGAGTATCAACTTATCTCTTTGCAAGACAGACCTTACTCTGTAAAAATATACCTTGACATATACACATTTTCAACCTCAACAATAAAAACACACACATACCATTATTACAATTCTATACATAATTTATGATATTCAGAACATCACTGTATAAACAGTTTTCAAATTACTATTAAACATTAATACCCAACAACAAAACTTAGAAAGGATTTGTTTTGAAGTGTTACCTCTACCATCCCCAAATGATGAGCCATCCCTGGAGCCTAAGAAGATTCGCTCAGGTCTACTGACAGCCCGCTGCACTCGCCACTCCTCTTCCCAAACAGGATGCCTGATGTTCCTGCACCTGCCTGGCCTGCTTGTCCAGCAAGAACATGAACTAGAACTTGGATTCCCTGTGAGGTGCCATTCATGTTCTACAATGCAGCAGACTCAGCCTGTCCACGAACACTGTCCCTGTTGCCTGGGAGATGGCGTGTCATACAAACTCTCAGGCAGAATGCTAAACAGGGAAGTGAAAACCCCCCCAATCTGTTTACTACACAGAAAGCTGTATTCGACTGGGAAACCGGAATTCTACCCTAATTCCAGAAGATGTCTTTTTTCTTTCAATTTTTTTATAATGCAGCAAGTGCTGCATGGCTGAGGCTAAGAGGGGTAGGAAAGACACCATGTGTGGGTGGCTGGTAAGGAGTCAGTAAAGTCCTCGCCAGAGGTGAGCCCCACATCCCAAATCACTGCACTTGTACAGGGCACATTCAAACAGCAGAGTCTCAGACTGATTCCCGAAAAAATGTAAGAAAAGCATTTCCTATAAATGTACCAAAAGCTTAGACTTCTGAACACAAGCTGAGTGGGAGTCCTAGCCACAGCCACAGGCCTGTCTCAATCAGATCTTCAGGGCTCCCGAAGCCAGTGCTCTCACTGCAAGTCTTGGAGGTTGATGGTGCTTCTGGAAAATGGTACGGTCTCAGGAACAGCTGCATCCTCTGGGGCTGGGAACACCTCCTGTGAGCCAAGCAGAGAGTGTGAGGGACAAGCGAGTGGGGCAGGGCCAGAAACAGGCTCTGAGGGGCCAGTGGCTAGACTACACCAGAAGAACTACATACACATCTCAGAGAGGGTAACACCTTAGCTCTCTACCCCATACCCTCGTGGTTTCAATGTCACTGAGCATCAGAAACCAAACTGGCATGTCTTTCTTATAAAAGGAACATGTTTTCTCATATTTTAAAAGCAAATGCTGAAATTAAAAAAATTTTTTAAAAACACTATTTTTTTTTTATACACACACACACTGGTGAATACCTAGACATACTTAAGCACCTGCACCCATTTATCTTTTTCTCACTTCATTTATGGTAAATATCTTCCCAATTATTAAGTACTCATCTCTGTATTTTTCTATGGCCAAGCAGTTTCAGCTATATCATGATGCATCGAACCCATCTCCTCTTGCTTAGAAAATAATGTTTTTACTTTTTCATTCATTATTACACTAAATGATGCAATGAGGGTCAATTAGCTGACCAGCCCTTTTTTTCCTTAAGAACAAAGACTCATGAGTGGGACTCGCCACATGAAATGGAAGAGACACTACAGGAACTGGAATACACAGTGTGTAATGCTCCAGTGTAGAGCCTTCCGCAGCCTCTCAACACCCGATTTCTCACCAAGGCTTTACTCAATATTTTTAATAGTAAGAAATATTTGAATGGCTTTTAGAAGCCATGCTGGTAGAAATTAGGCATGCTCATCGTTTCTTTTATATCCAAATATCAACTCTCCAATGATGCCTGTTTTCTCCAGCTTAATTCTGCTGGGCCTTATCCACATATATGAAAAACTGGCCAGTCACTGGAAATAGTAACTAGAATTTTTCAGTATAAAATACTTACAGATGACTAAACCTCACCTTGTTCAAGAGTGAGCTCTATGACGAGTCAATCTGAGCTATCCATACCCTCCACACCTTACCTTGTCATCAACCCACCTTTTCCAAAAGCAGATTAATGTCCAGGGAAGCCTGCCCAGAGTCTCCGCAACAAGCCTAGCTCAGTGACTAACGTGCTGCTGCAAAGAGCCTCCAGGGAGTCACTAACAGTTCTAAGAATAAAGATAAGGAGCTGTAAGGCATCCAGACCTGGAGGACGTAGACAGGCAAGTCCACAGTGAACAGAGGGCGGAGCAGAGGGGGCTGCAAGTTGAGTGCCAGTGGCAAGACTCCATCACCTGAGGGGTCGTCCTAGGGAAGCAACAATGAAAACATCTTTCACATGATTAGTACTTAGAGCATGGCAACCTCTCCATCTTTGAGACAGACTCCTCTTTGGCACTAAGCAGAACTAAACCACCCAGACAGTCCAAGTGCAGAAGTAGGCCCATGGACAGAATAAGGCCCCACACTTCTACCATGTGGCTCATCCACCCTCCGCAGGCTCCTCTCTGAGGATTCTCCTGTGCGCCCATGTCAGCCCTGACACCTTCCCTCAGCCCGAATGTCCATTTTCTTGCTAAAGCTGCTCCTGCATTCCTCTCAGGAGCTGCCTGCCCTGCCCCTAGGTGCCAGGCCTCAGCCTGCAGGTGCTTTCCAACAGTCCCCTCTGTGGCAGCCACCTCACAGGAGAGCTGTGAACAACTAGAGCAGATAGAGGATCTCTAGACAGGGGCCAGGCTAACTAAGAAAACAGGTAGTGCTTACCACCTACCTGCCTATAATCTGAAAATCCAGACTATTCATAACCCATTAACTGCAACATCATCTTAGGCTCACATCTCTCATTCCTCCCAGTACACCTCAGGATGTGTCTATGCACCAAGATGAGCAAACACAGTAGTTAGTTGCCCAAGATTACACTAGCTGGTAAGGGGTAGATAAAGACTCAAGCCCAAGTTTCTCTAATATCAGTCTTTACCTTTAATTCGGTACTTCTTAAAAAAAAAAAAAAAAGACCAGCACTGGATTGCAAACCAAAAGGTCAGCAGTTCAAACCTACCAGCTGCTCCTCAGAAACCATATACAGGGTTACTGTGAGTCAGAACCGACTCAATACCTACTTCCAACTCAAGCAGCTCCTTTTCTACACATAGCACCATCTTTCTTCCAATTTTCATTTCAAAACCTATAACCCTTCCTGTCCACTTCTGATCTGTAACCTTTGCTCAAAGGTCTCCAGCTGGCCCTTCCTTCCTGTCCACTGCCCATATACTTGTTGGTCCTGTATAAGCTTCAAGCTACTCCAAACACCTTTGGCCCCAAGTCTGTAAAAGGGGCAGGTTTTCTTGTTTCTGTCTGTAGGCAAACATTCCTCTATCTTCCATGCCTGTCAAATACTCACAGGGCCTCGTTTTCCATGTGAGCAACAGTACCTTGTGCTGCTGTTCTTCTAAGGCCTCCCCACAGCCTTTCCCCTACTGCCCGCACTGGTTCCAAATGCATCCCTGCATCTTCACAGTTGGCCCATTCCCTCCAAGTGTCACCATCATCAGCCAGCTCAGCATGCAGGTGCGCTCAGACAACTATGACTCCACCATGCCAGTTAAGCAGTAATCCAGAGTCCAGAGTCAGTAGTACAGGGTATGCTTGATGAACAGGCAGCATCCCACTGGGCCAGTCACAATCTTATCTTGTACTCGACTTTCAATGGTCTCTCTCTCCCAACTCCAAATTCTTTACCTCTCAATTCCAGCCTCAAATAGAACTGAAAACTAAGGTATACATGTAGCTGTTGAAGAAATGGTTGCAAAGCAGACGGAGAGACAGTGGCTTTTTTCCCTGGAATGCTCTGTTTGGTGGGGGAAGAAAGCACCCTTAGCGTAGGTGCCACCTCTGGGGGCCACAGCAGTGCCCAGGGCACAGAGGAAGGAGTGGCCATGGTCCCTGAGGAAATAAGGAGGCAGGCTGGGCAGGGAGTGATCACAGGGAGTGAGCCAGGGCTCCGGGAGTGGGCCGAGGCAGCGTGCTACCAGGAACGTCTATGGTCGGATGAGAGCCTAAAGGTTTTCAGAGCCAAACCAGAAACATTCGTAACCAGAACGTCCTCCTCATACAAAACAACTGGAGGAGAGGGTCAGGAGCCTGTTTACATTGGATGAAAGTAAATCTGAAGTTTGGCAGGTACACTACACTGGGGGAAAGCCAGGCACGAAGACTCTGATGAAGACTAAACAGAGGCAAACACCCAGACACAGTGGCACAGGGCAGGGAGGGAGAGAAGCAGGACATGGGTTGGGCTGGGTGGGGAAGAAGCAGTCAGCAGGGATGAGGGGCATCAGGAGGCAGGTCTTTGGTGGAGTGCTGGGGCCACCAGGGGTTACTCTGTACCACTCTTGCCCAGCCTGGCTTGGCCCTCCTCCATTATCTACAAACCACCCCTCCTGGATTCCTGATTCTTACCTGCAGTAGCTGGACCTGAACACACCGTACCCCAGCTGCTGGTTCTGGTCCCAACAGACCTCCGCTTGGCACCATATCCCCACACAGGCTTGGGTAGAAGTGAGGAGGACTGAGTTTGCCACCTTTTACTTTCCTTTGAGAAGGCTCCGAGGATCCTAAAAAACAACACATCTAATATACAATCTACTGGTTAGGACTCTACCCTTAATGGGGAGGACTCTACCACTATGGGAAGACAACCTACACTGTGGAATTCTGCACAGGCCAATAGAACAAAAAGTACTCAACAGGAAAAGCCACAAAGTCACAGTAACTGTCATTTAGACAGGCAGGCACCAGAGCCCAGCTGCCCATTTCTGGAGGATGCACTCTGGCAGCGCCTGCAGTCAGGTGCCCCTACTTCAGGGGTAGGCAGTGCCAGTGGTTGGGATACTTCCTTTTTATTCCTGTGTCCGGTTCTGTTTCAGGGAACCCAATGAGCCTCACGCTGGATTCCCTTTGACTGTTCTCCACATAAACTTCCTCCATTTTCACTGTTCTAATTGCCTTCCGAGTGCAGAGCCGGGTTGGGTGGAGGGTGAGGTGAGCAAGGGACCTGGGCTGCAACTTTTACTCCCTTTTTGCCTGCAGCTGGAGATTTTACATCATGTCCTATTCTCCTTGAACTTGTCTACTATTCCACTAACCTACAGCACATTTGTATGCTTAAAAGTATTTGCTCACTCTAGAACATTTTCTGTAATAAAAACACATACATAAATTAACGTTATCTGTTTAAATTCCTTATATACTTGTGGGAGTCCTGGTGTGGCACCGTAGGGTAAGCACTCGATATCAAAGTCAGTTTGAACCTCAGGGTCGGTGGTTCAAACTTACCAACCGCTCCTCAGAAACCCTATACAGGGTTGCTATGAGTCAGAACTGACTCAACGGCACTTATCAACAACAAATATTTGCTGGAGACCGAGTAGTGCAAACAGTTAATGTGCTTGGCTGCTAACCAAAAGCCTGAAGTTCAAGTCCACCCAGGGTGCCTCAGAAGGTCTGGGGGAGGGGGGACACCTACAAAATCAGTCACTGAAAATCCTATGGAATACAGTTCTCCGACACATGGGGATCGCCACAAGTTGGCCAAGTGGTATATGTCTGGTTAAAATTTTCATGCTTAATTGAGTTATTCCAATTTTTTGATGTAAAGCCAATCAAAACAACAAATTTAACAGAAATTTTGACAGATAACTCAGACATGAAAAGTAAAAACATTTGTGACAAGTAGACTGGTCTTCCCCGGTTATTTACATGTGTGTAAATCTCACTGTTAAGACTCCAACACAGTCACTATACACTTTCCACAACTAAAAATACATTTGTCAAAAACACAGTATTGCTGTGCTTTAAATATTATCTCATCACAAGCCTGGAGTTGCAGAATTGGCTAGTTCAACCTTCAGGAAAGGAAGCACCTGCCACGGGCAAGTTCCCTGTCATAACACACTTGGTTCTTGAAAAAAACTCCCTCTCTAATTCAAATAAGAATATTGAAGCCTGTTTCCAAGAATATTATAAAAACCACTGAGGATAACTTAAGAAAGCCATCAGCTATACATCTAAGTTACATTTTAAAACAATCAAAAGTTAATATTATTTTTAAAACTTAAAAAAAAAAACAAGATAAATCAGTGATTTCTCATTTGTAATGTACAGTAAGCCCTAAATTAACTATGAAGAAATGTAACCAAAGGAGTGTACACTTTCACTAATTGTACCCTTTTACTAATTGTACCCTTTCACTAAATTCAACCTTGGGTTGAACAGAAGTCAAGTAAAAAACCATGTGGAAAAAAATAAATGTATCAAGAAAACTTCCACTAAATTTACTAAACCATCAGGATTACATTGTTCCTTTATACGTAATGAAAAAAAAAAATCTATCTTTGTTAATAGGATACAGAGATATTAATTTCATAACAGGAAGAACAACTTTAGAATAAACACTTCATGATCTAAGTAGTTGCTGTTGTTATTAAGTGCCGTCGAGTCAATTCTGTCTCACAGCAAAACCACTGACCCTAAGGCGAGCAGTACAGCTCCATACCAGGACTCCCGACTCACAGCAAAACCACTGACCCTAAGGCGAGCAGTACAGCTCCATACCAGGACTCCCTAAGATATATACATTTATTTTAACCTGCAGATTTAATTCAATGTCTCTAAAACACTAGTAAGCCCTGCAAACACTATAGTTACACTTGGAAGAATCACAACATACTTGTACTGCTTTCATGTCAGAAGGTATTTTCCTTTCCAGATTCTGGGACTGCAAGGTCAATAATTGACTATAATTGCTTATGTTCGTATGTCTGAGCACTTTCACTTCCACAGGAAGGGGTCCTCAAATATAGCACACTCTTAAACAAGAGCAGAGGATTGGAAAAGGTGAGGACTTAAATGAAAAATGTCAACACATCTCTGTCTTAGATGTCTCAGACGACTGTAACAGAAATACCACAAATGGATGATGTCAGCAAACAGAATTTTATTCTGGTTTAGGAGGCTATATTGTCCAGATTCAGAGTGCTGGCTTTGGAGAAAGGTCTTGCCTTCTTTCAGCATCTGTAGGCCAGCAATCCTTGGAGATTTCCATGTGTCTTGGCATCAATCCTTCCCGGGATCTACAAGTTTCACAGTGTAGGGATGCCAGGTCCTAAGGATGCATTCCACTCCAGCTTTTCTTTCTTGGTAGATCCCTGAGTTCCATTTGTTTGTTTCATCTCTTTTACATCTCAGAAGAGACTGACTCAAGATACAACCTAATCTTGTGGACTCCATTCAGCCTCATTAACATCACGATAGTAATGTTTCTCATTACACACACAGGATAACTGCATCAGAGCAGGGCTGATCACATCGAGGGTGATTACAATCAGCACATAACTGCAAAACCACTGAGAATCATGGCCTAGCCAAGCTGGTACATTTTTTGGAGATACAATCCAATTTATGATAACCCTCACACTTGCCATCTACGATATATTTCCACTCACATCTCAACCTTAACCCTTAAAAAGAAGTGACATGAGCTAGTTGATACATCTTGCCATTTAGTAATGTGTCATGAGCAGAACATTTAAGGTGGTTAGAAACTGCGTAACTCCTGAGTTAATTAAACAAAAAAGTTTCTATAGGATGCCTAAAGGCATGAAAAGAGAAAATTAAAGATCTATGTATTGATTCCCAGTAACTATAAAGCCCCAGTCATCACTAGTAATAGATGGTATTATCAACATGATCAATCTAATTGATAACCAATAAGAAAATTTTTTAAATTATTCTGTAGAAATCCACAAACTTTTACGTTGCTGTTATGCAAGGTGTCAGATGGGTTCTGACTCGTATCAACCCTATCTCTGTACAACAGAACCAACACTGCCCATCCTGCACCATCTTGACAATCTTTCCAATGTGTGAGCCCATTGTTGTAGCCACTGCGCCAATCCATTTCATTGAGAGTATTCCTTTTTTTCACTTACCCTCCCCCTATTTTTTACCAGACATAATGTTCTCCTCCAAGGACTGGTTCCTCCTGATAACATATTCAAAGCACATGTTACTGCCATCCTCGCTTCATAACAACAACATACCTCTTCTAGGAGTCCTGCTAGCGTAGTGGTTATGAATCGGGCTGTGAACTGCAAGGTCAGCAGTTCAAAACTACCAG